AGCTCGAGGACGTCGTGCTGAGTGCCCTCGCTGACTCCTCGGTGGACCTTGAGCGCGTCGTGGCGGGCCTGAACCCCGAGGTCCTCCTCCGCTTGCAGGCGGCCTTCCCTCGCCGCGCGGAGGCCTCGCCGCCCGCCGCTCACCCCGCGGCTCGCAGCCGCTCTCGGGGCCGTGGCACTCGTGCAGGCTCCGAGACACCGCAGCCTGTCCCGCCGCCGCCGCCACCACCACGCCACCACACTGGTGAGCGGGGGGCGTCGCGCTCCCGCGCGGCGGCCGCAGGCCAGGGGCTTAGTCGAGCGGGCGCGCGCGGCTCCTCGCGTGCGCCTTCTCGTCAGGCGATGTCGCCTGGGCGTCGCAAGGTGCGCTCCCCTCGCGTCGCTCCGAAGCGTCGCCCGAGCCCGACCGCATCGCAGCAGCCTGCCACTCCTCACCAAGCTGCGAGCTCGGGCGCCGCCCTCGCAGGCAGCTCCCGCACGGGCTCCGCTGCTCAGGCCCCTCCGACTTCGGTAGGCATGCGCTCTTCCAGCGATGCTGGTGCGGCCCCGCAGGGAGGAGGGCGTGCCGCCGAAGAAGGGGGGTCTTCGAGCGGCCCCGCGCTTGGCCGAGCTCCAGAGCCCGAGCTGCCTCCCAGCGGCTCTCACAGCGGTGACGCTGGAAGCGCCGCGGCTGCAGCCTTCGCAGCGCGACGCACGGCCTCTGCGGCCACAGAGCAGCCCTTGCCTCCAGGGGCCGCCAGCGCCCTTGCGTGGCGCCTCAACATCGGCGGTGAGAAGATCACAGTGGTGAGGTGGGGACCCGCCTGGCAAGCCGCCTTCCAGAGCGCGGCGTCGTGGCTGAGGTCCTTCGCCCCTGCAGGGGCCGCCGAGCCCGAGGGCAAGGAGGACCTGCACTGCCTCCTGCGGGCCTTGCACGCCTACAAGCGCCTGTTTCAGACGGGCGGCGCCGAGCCGATTGATGAGGCCTCATGGATGCATCCTTACGTGGCCGTCGTCGAGCCTGAGGCTATCCCCGCGCATGCTGACCTCCAAGCCATGGGGGCGGGCGCCATCCGTGGCATCGGGCTCGGCTCCAAGATCGAGCAGCGACGGCGCGCGGGCAAACTGGCCTGCCTCTTCGACATGCTGTACCACGTGCAGGACAGTCACGGCACCATCCCCGCAGCGCTGTGGGGAGACCATTCCCCCCCGTCCGAGATCCTCGACGCCTTCGCGGAGGTGGTGCCCGTTCCTCATCATTCGGGCCTCACGTCCTCGGCAGCTCGCTCCGAGCTTGCCGAAGCAGCCGCAGCAGCGCGTGCCGAGCCGCGCCCGCCTTTTGACTGGGCGACCCTCGAGGGAGGGGACGCTCTGCCTGCCGAGATCGAAGCAGGAGCTCGCCGTGCCTACCGTAACATGGGTGGCTCCTTCAGCTCGGCGCGGGCAATGTTGGCGGAGGCGTCGGGGTTCGAGACCGACGGGCGGGACGCCCGCGTTCCGCCCTTCTACGCGTCCAGGCGCAGGAGGGCCGCCACGCTGATCAGCTCTCCAAGCCCTGGCCGCCCCGCGCTCCCTCCTGTGGTGCGTCTGCGGCCTCTGCACTCTCTCTGGGCGCGATTCTCACCGCAGGCCACGGGCTTAGTCGGGCTGCGCCGCCACGCCCGCTCGCCCCCCGCGCACTCCCTTTGTGCGCGATTCTCACCTCACTCCCGCGTATCTCGACCGTCGCTCGAGATCGATTGATGCCTTCGAGCTGTGGTTAGCTGAACACACTGGCGTGCCACCCGCCACACTTTACAAAAGCGGGATACTTCTCGCCCGCTTCCTCGCCACCTTCGGCGTGTGGCTTCATGATGCAGGCTTCCCTCATTATATCCTGGTCCATGCCATCTTGGGAATCCAAAGCGCCCATCCGCATTGGAAGGCTTTCCTGACAGAAGCTTGGGACGTAGCGAAGCAATGGAAGCTCGCGGAGCCGCCAAAGCTCCGTCCCCCCTTGCCACGCGCGCTGCTTCGCGCCATGGTGGGGCTCTGTCTAGCCTGGGACTGGCCTGTGATGGCGGCACTGCTGCTCATGGGCTTTACGATGTTCCTCAGGCCGGGCGAACTGCTGGCGTCACGCCGCTGTGACTTGTCGCTCCCATGCGACCGTCTCGAAGTTGAAGGGGATGCTTTTCTTTCGATTCTTGTTCCAAAGACCAGAAGAACGTATCCGACGCAACATGCTCGCTGCTCTGATCGGGGCACGGTGAAGATATTGAATCAAGTGTTTGGGAGGCTAGCTTCCACCGATCCTCTCGCCCCCTTCGGCGCGAGCGGCTTCCGTACTCGGTGGAATCATCTGCTTTTGGCTCTGGGCGTCCCTCTTGCCCAAGCCGGTCAGGGGCTCAACCTGACGCCCGCTTGTCTGCGGGGCTCTGGCGCTACGGACTTCTATATCGCTACAGAAGACGCCCCTCGCGTCTTCTGGCGAGGACGTTGGCGTCAAGCTTCCAGCGCCGAGCGCTATCTGCAAGCCGCCGCAGCCTCCACAGTCCTTGCTGCGCTGCCCGAGCATGCACGGGCTCGTATCTTGTTCTTCGCCACCGCCAGCGACCGCCTTGTCGCTTCGTTTCTCCAAGTCGGCCCCGCCGCTTGGCCTGCCCTGCTTGCGGCCGCCCGCCAAAACCTTGTCACTTCGCAAGGTCCTTGAGCACGGGTATGGCTGCCTCGCCGACCTCGGCGACCAGACGGACTCCACCGTCTGACGCGCGGCGCCCCGGCTTGAGCGCGCGGGACGGGCCTGCCCATTTTGGGCCGCCCCGCGCGCGCACGCCGCGGCCGCGCTCGGAGACAGCTCGCTGGCGCGCGAGCGGGAGAATGCTTCTTCTATTCTCTGTGAGCAAGCTCCTGCTGTCTCCGCAGCTTCTCTGCCCCCCTCCCTCCTCTCCCATTCTAAGGCTGACGGGCGCTGCCTCGCCGACCTCGGCGACCAGACGGACTCCACCGTCTGACGCGCGGCGCCCCGGCTTGAGCGCGCGGGACGGGCCTGCCCATTTTGGGCCGCCCCGCGCGCGCACGCCGCGGCCGCGCTCGGAGACAGCTCGCTGGCGCGCGAGCGGGAGAATCCTTCTCCTCCTCCTCCTCCTCCTCCTCCTCCTCGTCCCCCCCCCGCGTTGCCCTCGTCCTCGCCTCCTCGGCCTCGCGCGCCGGGCCCCGGGCGCAGGGATTCACGAGGGCGCCTCCCCGGCGAGCCGCCCGCGCCCGTCGGCGGTAGGTGTTCGTCGGGTGTTGCTAGAAGTGCCCCTGGCACAAGGTGCCCCCAGCTTTTCGCTCCGTTTTGGAGCCCCTGAGGCCCTCGGTGCCCCTGGAGGCGTCTGGGCCAGTCCAGGCCACCCCGAGAATCCTGGGGGCACCTTGGGCCAGGGGTACTTCTAGCAACACCCGAGTTCGGAGGTTCCCAGGACTCGGGGGCGGCAGAGAGGGGGGTGATGGCTAGGGGGGGGGGGATATCTTGGCGGGGGCCATGCTATCTCACCAGATGTCACGGCGCCTCTTCTTATGTCATTACGTCCTCGGCCCCCTCTTAGGCCGCGCACATGCCGCCGGCCATTATTTGCGCCCCCCCCTCTTGGACGCCCCCCTCTTGCCCGCCCGAAGGATCACCGAGCACGTCCCACTGCTCGCAGAGTGCCTACTCGCAAGCGCTCGAGCATCACATGTTCGCCTCGATATCACGGATCGCAAGTCGCCCGCGAGGGATCCGGGCCATTGGCGAGTATAGCTCTTTTGCGAGTAGGGGGACGCGCTTGTCTACAGAAACTTTCGGCCGAAGAAGAACAGCAGTATTACACACTGTTCCTCGTCCTCGTCGTCCTCCTCCTCCTCCTCGTCCTCCTCCTCCTCCTCCTCCTCCTCCTCGTCAGCCCGACACCCAGCCCGATGCCTCGCCCGACGCCGACGCTCTGCCTGGCGCCCAGCCCGCCTCTCCGAGCGCCTAGTCCCACGCCCTGCGCTTTCCCCTCGGCCCCCCGCCTGACTTCGTGTGGGAAATCGACTAACTATACAGTCAACCCGCGGAGTGAGGATGAGCAGCTTGTCCTAGGTTACCCTTGCCTCCTTGCCCCCCTCGGTCCATCCCTGGCAACTTTCGCTGGCCAGCCCCTTAGTGTACCCTCTTCGAAAAACGTCAACATGGCTTTCCAAGGCCCTTGCATCCTTATCGTGCATCCTTACTCTGCGGGTTGACTGTAGAGCTGTGCCCCAAGATTGATGCTCTCGTCGAGTCGTGCGTAGAATATTCGCAGCTCTGCGAGAATTCTACGCACGTCTCGTGTCTCGACGAGCAAGTCAAGCCAGGGGCAAGCCGATTCTGCGGTCGATCCCCTAAGTCGAGAATGTGCCGATGTCGAGCGCTCCGCGGAAGCCGCGAGCGTTCCGAGGGCCAGCGCGCACGCCACGGCGGCGAGCAGAGGGCGGTGGCGCAACAGGGGCGTGGGCTCCCAAACAGGCGGGGGGGGACCTCCGTGGAGGCTCCTGGAGGCTCCCGGAGGGAGGCCTCGTAGAGGATCGACGAGGAAACCTCCGACGCTCCGCGCGGCTTTCGCGGGTCTGCGCCAGAGCGCCCTGGCGGCGCCCCGCGCCGGAGGAGGGGATCCGCCGCAGATCCAAGACATCCGAGAGGAGGAGGAGGAGGCGGAGGAGGAGGAGGAGGAGACGGAGGAGGAGGAGGCGGAGGAGGCGGAGGAGGCGGAGGAGGAGGAGGCGGAGGAGGCGGAGGAGGCGGAGGAGGAGGCGGAGGAGGAGGCGGAGGAGGAGGAGGCGGAGGAGGAGGAGGAGGAGGAGGAGCCGGGATGCCGGACCCCCCTCGGCGGATAGTGACAACGTTGCGACGGGATCGTGTTGGCCATCTCTCGGCCTCTGGGGGCCCTCGCCAGGCCGCCAGTGGCGACAGACCGGTCGCCCCGGATCGTCGTCTCGAGGAGGCGCCCGATGTTGCCGGACGCCCCGCGTGCCCGGCGCCCCCGGGCACGGGGGGTGCAG